GGAGTTCATCCTGTTTGGACATCTGAGGAGCTCGTGGAAAAAAAGAGAAAGTCAGTCCAAACTCCACCAAATTTTGCATGAACATCACGCAGATCAGCATCTTGCTTCCAATTTTTTTTTCTATTTTTAGTGATTTTCTGATTTTTCCCGGGATCATCTGAGCCCGGGAGCAGAAACACCGCTCTCTTAATCTCCATCTTACTTATGGAATAAAATTTAGCCGATCTCAAACTGGAGTAGGCAAATATTTTAGCATAAATTTTTTAAAACCAATATTTTAGCATAATTGGACTCAGTTGTTTCCTGTTGTTTTCTTCGCTCACGAACTCCAAAGCCATGGAAACAAGAAGATGCTCCTCATAAAGCCAAAGAAGACCTCCCAAAAGAGACCATCCCACTTCACGGTTCACACTCCAGAAGCTCGACCGCTTCGTGCATATGCTCGCCGCGAAACACTCCAGATCTACGTGCATGCATGCATGCAAAGGTTAGCTAGCCATTCTGCAACTTTCAGCTCTCCACACCTAGGATCGACACGGTGCTGCTCCTGCCTACACGTCGTGTGCTTCACATATTTCTAACCAGCTGAAAAGGCCAATCATAGGTCGATGCACACCACTAGTAGTTAACTAGGAGTGGCTTGCAGCAACTCAAGGGCCAATAATATCATAGGATGTTGCTTTGTCACTCTCCTCTTTTGCGTTGGGATAACATGACTCATCACACACCGCATACAAGTGCTGTTTTTCTTTTTGCTGGGCCATCCCGGTTTGCTGATGAGATGATTAATTAACACCTACTCACCTAGCAGTTTTAGGCTGCACTTTTTTATTTCTTATAATCTGGACTTTTTTATTTTTATGGTAAGACGATTTTTTTCGTATTTAATTGTGTTGGACGTGTCCATTATGTGCATCGCGTTATGAAGTGGTCAGTAATTCGCTCGGTGTGATGGTATCACTTTGATATATCGATTGGATGAAAATGTCCTTTGTTTCTTTTCGAAACGGAAGCAATTTTTGACAGAAAAAAAAATTATGGTTATAGTTAGTAGCCTTTCTATATATGGATGATGGATCCAATAAAAAGAACTAACTTGATGGGGAGAATCTGTTTATTGAACAGTTTGACTCACTTCAATTGGTCCAAGCTGGATTAGTTTATTTTGCATGGGTGGACTGGGATTGGACGGCTAGGATCGCACTCGCAAGTGGAATTCTCCATCTTCCTATTCGACACGTCCAACTCCGATTTGTCTCCCTCTTCTTCTTCCTCCACTTAAGCGGCTCCACCACCGTCCTCGAATTGGACACGTGGGCAACTCCTATATCGTTGTGTTACCTTCACCTAGGGCATGCCCATGCCGGTGCCATTGCCCCGCCGCTCTGACTCCAATAATGTCGTGTTGTCGTCGGCCCGACTCAATCTTTGAAGCTTGTCTCTGCTCACCAATGCCATCCCACATCATTTTTGGCCGCAGCTCGAACCTCATCTCGCCTCTGGCCAGCTCCATTGTTGTATCTGTTTGTAACGGTCTTGTCGAGAAGAAGAGGAGATTGTTGGGAAGATAACTCTTTTCCCTATTGAGAAATAGCTACCGCACGTTGTTTTGAGGGTCCAGGATGACATTAGCGTTCTGTGATCCTAGCACACAATGAAAATGTCACCGTGGAAACTTTTCACGTTTTCTAGCCCTTTTTGTGATAGTGCTATAGAATTTTGTGAAATGTGTCGTTTCACATTTTTTGGCCGTTTTCATATGACAAATATGATAATTCTATTTACATGTACCCAATCCATATAATTTCTTATATATTGTTGATTAAAGTTGCGCATTAACAAGCCAGGTTGCTGGGAAGAAATTCGTTATTATTACTTTCCTTTCCTCTTTTGAAAGAAATCGAGTTCGCCAAGTGCGCTGCATTTTATTTATTTCAGAAAGTATCAAATGTGCTAGAATATGAATGCTTTTGATAAAGGGCGATGTATATTCTAGCCGCAGCCTGGTGGCATGCTTTGCTAGTTGGCAGATTCTCCTGTCCCTTTTCAACTGCAGAGGATCTGAGTAGCTGATAGCCTGATAAGTAGGAACATTCATAGAAGCAACTAACAAACAGGGTGCAAGTGCAGGGTGCGAAAAGTGTGAAGAAACAATGATAAAGCCAAGGGAATGTTGGGATTAAAAAGGTAAAAAGGTGGGATGCACAAAAGGTGACAGAGGAAAGGAATTACTCCCTCCACAAAGAAATATAAGAGTGTTAAGTTAGATCATTAGAGGTCTAAAGGCTCTTATAATTCCGGCTGAATGTGACCAAACAATATTTGGCATGAATCACTCGTTTCATTCCGCCTCCTCTTGCTAAAAAACATTTTGTTTTTCTATGATAATAATGACCTAACACGCGGGATTGATTTGGACAGGGATGCAATGCAATGCAACGCCTGCTGGTGCCCATGGGCTTGGCCACGGGACAAGTCTTGGTCAACCAGACACCCAACCAACACTGACCACGACTCGCCGTGGTACGTGTACAGTACTCAAAAGCAACTATAAGTGAATCAACCAATCAATTCCATTATTCAAACTATAAGTGATTTTCTTGTGCGGGAATTTAATGATTAATGTGATTTCAGCTAAATTATGAACGAAAAAATGAACTACATCAAAAGCAACTATGTTTATATGTAGACATGATATATACTTGCCTTATGTGCGAACATATCATGTCTGGTTTGCATGAGGCTGAATAATAGGGTTAATGGATGCCTACATGGCACACTTAGTAAAGTGGAAGACTGCAGATTGAGAGAATTAGAGATTGTGAAGATCAACTATTTAGGTATGTCGAATTTCATTAAAAATATATTACTTCCTCAATTCCTATATGTTAGGTGTTTTCAGCGCGGTGACCAAGGCACATAATTTTACACAATTTAGGACGAAATTAACCTTGGCTAAATTATTGATTAGCAGCAAGTAAATCATTTTAGGCTTAGAAAGGAAGAGATACACGCAATCAGGGAAGAGATACTTCCCTTTTCTTCTCTATAATGAGAGATACATGCAATCGGGAGAGATATTCTTTCCTTTTTCTATAGGGCTAATGTCGGAATTAAAAGAAATACACCTTACATTGTGAAATTTTATCAAAAAACAAATACACCTTATATAAAGGAACGGAGGGAGTATTGATTTTCCAACAAAAACATTGTGCCTCATGATACCTGTGTATGATTTTTTTTCCTGAAAAAAGCCTTTGATCTATTAACAATGTGTATCGACGGCACACAAAGATCTCCTTAAGTACAAAAATATATAACCTAGTCCATGAACAATCTAGCAACGACTACAAGCATTGGGGCAAGCCAAGGACACTGTCATCATGGTCCTTCCCTCACGAAAACCGCGCAAACCATGTTGTAATAAGTCGTCATCCTAAGGCCCAAAGGACCAGCGTACGAAAACAGCGATAGTCGTCAACGATGAGAAGCATAAATCAAAAGGTCCATACATCCAAAAAGACCAACGAAAACAAGGGCTACCCGAATCAAGATGGGTCAACTAAAGACAAAAGCCGACTAGATTCAAGCAGATTCATCGAAGACCAACACCAACCAGATCTAAGAGGATCAAACGAGGGCACATTATTTAACCCTGGGATGCCGCCATTTCATCACCCCGACCAAGAAACTAAAACTACCAAAAGCAAGGACGAGTGCCCCCTTGTGGGCGTGGGGTGGGGTCTGCTAGACATCCAGGTCCAATAGGACCGCTGGAGACGGGACGGAACAACGTCGGTGCCGGTGAGGGGGCTGAAAACGTAGTATTCCCACAATCACGTGTGGAGGGAGATGTGAACAATTCGCTTGGTTTCCCTTAGACATGTGCTTCTATTTCACATTGCATTTTTGTTTGATTTTAACCTAAATAAAATAAGAATATACAGGATAATGCTTGTGCTTTGATTGCACATGTATTATATTGTGAAGTAGATGCATTGTGTGCCCAGTTAAGGCAAAAAAATTGCAGTGAAAAGTGAGTCGCTCTGCACGGTCTTTAGTGAACCCACGAATTCACAAATCTTGAAATTCATAGGCAAGGGATAGCCTGTCTTATATATTTGTGGCAAATTTTTCATGCTATATCCCCTTTTCAGAAGAAAAAAAACTGAGGACCAATGCATCATATCTTTTCAACATTTATTATAGGCTTGATATCTTATCTTATCTTGTACTATTAATGTTGAAAGGAGCCTTTTATTTCTTAAGTGTACCCTGTTAATCTTATTCCGCATCAATCAATTAAAGCGAATGTGACATGATCGGCCATGTGACTATGGTATAAACACGAATACATTTTTCCGCCCAAAAATTGTTAGACTTGCTCTTGATTCGTACTATTCCATGACGTTTCTTGCAAAAATCAGCCTATAGAAAAACGTACAAGTATGTCACCACGATTTCATAGCTGCAAAACATAGCATAGCATCACAAAAGAAAAGGGTAAAGGTATCCCGCCGCCAATTTTTTAGTATAAATGTTAGTATGTTTTACCTACGGCGTCGGATTTTTAAGCTTGGCAAATTGAACGTTTATGATGGCAAATTACGCTGTCCATAGCATTTGTCGCACTTGCTAAATCAAATTGCCATCCTCACGACAGGATAAGTTGCCATCTCAGGAGTTCGATTTGACATGTTCGAAAATCTAATGCTCAATTTGCAGTGGAATGTTTCAACTAAATCGACTACTCCTTTTTTGAACACTTGCCAACAAGAATTTTGAATGGCAACTTTGGACATAATTTTGTAATCCTACTTCAAAAAACCAAAGTCAAAGTGGTAGTAAATGTTTGCAGTAGCGGCGGTTTCCTTGTTTTCTTCGCTCACGAAATCCAAAGCCAAAGGAGGCCATAAAAGCCAAGGGAAACCAAAAGAGACCATCCCACTTCACACTCCGGAAGCTCGGCCGCCTCCTCTCCTGTATGCTCGCCGCCGGCGATGCCCAGCCCGCTGAAGCGCCCCTCCCTCGGCCGCCTGCTCGCCGCCCTCCGGTCGCCGCCCCGCGTCCCGGTCCAGACCGGCTTCCCCACCGCCCTTGCCGACCTCGTCGTCAAGAACCATGCCCGCCTCAGGAAGCCCCGCAAGCCGCGCCGCCCCACCACCGCCCTGGCGCTGCCTCAGTCTCCGGCGGAGACACCGGTGGACGTAGCGGAGATTCCTTCGCTGCCGTCATCGCCCGGGCCTCTGTCGCCGGTGGTCGTGGAGGGCTCCTCGGCCCCGGTGGCGCGGCGGCTGGACGCGCCCAAAGGCGCCGCCTTCTTCCGGCCCCGCCCGGAGCTCCTCGCGCTCGGCGGGGCCGTGGCGCTCGCGCTCCTCGCCGTGTTGAGCGAGGGGGCCGTCGCGGCCTTCACCATCGCCTCGCTGGCGCTGCTCTGGATGGAGTCGGCCTCCCGCCGGCGCCGGCGCTCCTCGCGCCCGGCGGAGCTGCCCGATTCGCGCGGCCCCGCCGCCGTGTCGCCGATTCGGGAGGTGGAAGAAGCGCCCGGCTGCTCCGATTCCGACAAGAGGAGCGAGGGCCCCTCCGAGAGGCGCGAGCTCGTCTCCGGCGGTGAAGATCCGGCCAGCCCGAAGAGCAAAGCGAGGAGGTCGCTGAGGAAGATGATCTCCAAGACGCTGCAGAAGAAGCCCAAGGCGAAGGACGCCTCGGCCTCTAGCGAGGGCGGCGCGGAGGCAGTTAGAACCGAGGCCTTTGTAATTCCAGCCCCTTCCTTGGCCGAGCAGACGCCGTCGGAAGCAAGCACAGAGTCTTCGCCGGTGTCGGTGGAGACGGAAAGGCGAGGCCTCGCCGCCGGGAAGCTCCCGGCGACGGCGCTTGCCGTGCTCTGCGTGGCCTTCTTCGGCCGGCGCCGTGCAGCAAATTTAGGCTAGGCCTAGGCAGGCAGTGACCGGCTGAGTGAGAGAGTTCCGATCAATCCCCTCGAAACCGGGGGAGATGAGTGATCATCCGTCCGTTTGTAAAAAATGAGAGACAGAAGCAGAAGAAGAAATCCATACATGTTGATTTCAGTTTTCAACTGTGAACTTGTTTTCTCCCTGGATAGATCAGATGTCCTGGTTCCTGAATGCTGTTGGCACGTCATGTCTGAATTTCTTTCCTGTGTGCAGTGCAGCATGTTGAACAGCTCTTCCCTGACAGCGGTCAGTTGGCAAGTAAAAAATCCAAACCGTTAGCGTGTGACCACAGTTGGCAAGTCAGACGCGACGGTGTCGATCAGTCGATGGTGATGATTCAACAACTTCTTGGGTTGAAAAGGAGGATCCCTTGTGATTCTGAGTACAAGTATGCAGATCATGGCTCTCAGTGGTTGGGTTTCAGACATCTCGTCTGCAATATCGTGATGGAACTACCAAACAGCTTTCCTGGAAACACCAAGCTGCAATGTGGGCGCAAGTTTCCGTGGTGGGAACACCAACCACACCACACCACGACACACAGACAGAGATCGATCAGGTTCAGATTCAGGTTCTTGGTGAGAAAATACCGTCGTCATGTTCTTGATACCAACTGATAAACAATCAGCGTGCTGTTGTTACGTGTTCTTCAGTGTAGCATCGATCCTATGGATTCTGATTGTTAGACGATCATGTCTGTCAGTGGTTGAGTTCTCTTTTTGGGCGAATATCAGATATTTCGTCTGCAAGATGGTGATCAACTCTGAACTGAAACCAGCTTTCCTGGAAACTGCATGCTGCATCTTGAAGCCGCACAAATGTATGCACTTTGCATACTTTTTGTCGTCGCCATCAACAAATCATCTTATCCTCCTGTACAATAAGGTGATATCACCACACTTATCTTGGCGATGTCATGTCCGTACGTAAGATGATTGCTGAGCTAAAGATAAGACATGTTTCCCTGTTAACAAGATGTCAGCTTTTATTCGCATGTTTTTCTTGCCTACTTAATGTTAAGCATTACGTAAAACTAGAGACATGTCAGCATTTGTTGTCGCCGTCAGTACAGTAGGAGATAACGTTATTGATGGTTAGCGGTTGCGAAAAACGATTATTGAATTCTGAGTATTGTGTTTGATCATGCCTATCAGTGATTTGGCTTTCGGGTATTTTTCCTTTGCAAGGTCATGAACTCATACAAATTGCAGTGCAACAATGTCATTTGTTTTGTCTTTTCATATGGATGGGCATGAGGCTGAAATGTTTATGAAGATCTGACATCCCGAATTAGGTACCAATCAAAGCCGAACATTATTACAAAGCCAGTCATCAATCACTGATCGGCCCAAAACTACCATCACTCACTAGCCGGTGACCCGTCAATGGTTTTTCGTCACTGATGACTACCTCATCACTAACTAGCCAAATGACTTGTGAGTAATGGCTAGTCATCACTAATCGGCGGGCCGGTCGCTGATGAATATCGAAGGAGCGGCAAAGAAAGGTCACCATCGACCATCCGTGTCACTATGGTCGGTCAATGATGAATATTCACATAACACATACACATGTAATGCTCATTGCACATACACATTGATGTTCACAACATACATAAATTCATTGCCCATACACAATATTGCATACATCAAAGTCGAAACGTCTCCATTTGCGATGTGCCATGCCTTTTGCAATGTCAACCCTTGGGCGCAAACTCTTCCCTTCGGAGCAAAGTCATCGTCCACACACCTCGTGGCACTACATCTCTTCTTAGAAAGAAGAGTGGTCCGGTCAGCTCGGCCATCAGACCAGGAACATACAACACTCGAGTCCCTCATTGGCTCTATCCTCTAAATTATCCAATTCATACCCAAGGTGATGTGTTCACCGAGGGAAGTTTTTTGTACTTACTTCCAGGTTGAACTTTTTGTGCAGTGCGACTAAAAGTAACATTCACTATTTTGATATTTCAGTAACACTACACACAACACTTTTTTTCAAAAAAAAGTGTCTAGTAGTCTGTGACTGTCGGCTGCGTATACTTTTTTTTCAAAAGAATGCCAACGAGTCAAGGGGGTTCTGCAGCCAATCTCTTCCGGTATATCTGAATGTACTTTCTTTCTGGAGGAAGATCCCTCAGAGCAAACCTTAGGGCTTTGCTCTTTGTGCACTAAATGGCAACGGATCATCTCATGGCATTTATATCTTTCCTTGATGGGAATCCTATAACATTTATGCCCAAACGCAAGGATAATCATACCCACTAGCATTTGTTGACGCTTTGGTGGAGGAAAAAACATAGGAATATGGGATTTTTTTTCCTTTGGTGACACTATCCATCTGTCTAGTCCATCAAAGGAATGAAGCAAAGCAAAATGGAAGAGCATCTAAGAACTCGGTTTTCAAAGAAAAAGAAACACAGGAATTTGGGGGCTACTATGTATCGCTTTTAGCGAGACGTAGGGAAGCCTTGCATGGGGAGCACCAGATGGGCCGGCCGAGGCGCACGGGAGGCCACGGCTTCGTTTATTTTCTTTTTCACGTTTTTATCATGTTTTTTCTTTTCTTTAAACTTTCTTTTATACCTACAAATATTCTAAATAAATATATTTGAAAAATCACTTTATATTGAATGTTTGAAAAAATACATTAACCAAGCATTTTTTTAAATGTGTATAGAGAAAATGTTTCGCATGTATATGTAAAATGTATACAAAAATTATACAATATGTGTGAAAAAAGTTGATCATGTGTTTACAAAATGTTAATCAACATTTGGTAAAATTTAAACAATTATTTAAAAAATGTTAAACAAGCATTTGAAAAATGTTAAATGTGTATAGAAAACATGTTGACCATGAATTCAAAAATTTCATCTTGTACTATATTTAAAAAAAATTACACTTATATTTGAAAAATGCTAATCAAGCATTTGACAAATGTCAAAAATGTGTAGAGTAAAATGTTGACCATGTATTAAAACATGTTAAACATGTATTAGACAAATGTTCTTGGTGTATACAAGAAATGTAGAATGAAAGACAAAAGAAAAGTAAAATAAAAACCAAGAATTAAATAAATAAAAATGAATAATAACAAAAAATGGTGAAACCAAAAAAAAAGAAACAAAGAAAACCAAACTAAAAAAAGAAAAGAAAAGAATAGTAAAAACCAAGAAATAAACAGAGAAAAACGAAGGAAAAGAAAAAGTACATGAAAGAAACTAATAAAACCAGTGAAGAAACAAAGAAAAACCGAGAAAACTAGGGAAGAAACAGAAAAAAGGGAAATCAAAAAAATCAAAAAACCCTGGCGAATGAAACCCAGCAAACGAAGCAAGCAAACTTGATCGAAACCAGCGAATAAGAAAAAAATAGGCCAGCCAAGTAGTTGCAGGTGGGGGATAAAACCTTCAATGAGACGTATGTTAGTCTTGCTATAAGCGAAATATAACATCTGCGAACAAATTTTACAGGTGCATCAGACCTCCTTTTCGGCTTGGGCTAGGCTTGTTAGTATGAGAAGGGCATCTCATATGTTGTCAACAAGCCCAACAAACTATCACCAGCCAAGCCCCAACCCAACCCAGCACTCTGGTTAGAAGGAGAAGTGAAGAAAAAACATTAGAAATATGAAATCTTGTTTTGTGGCACTATCTATCCATTTGGTTTGAAAGGAATAAAGCAAAGGAAATTTTCTGTAATATTTTATAATGCTCTCGAAAGACAAAAAATGCTTGTTGCGAGGCGAACATGATGCTTCCCTACAGCGGAAGATAAATGGGTGAGTCCCAAGTTCCTGCTCGCCTAGTGCTCACCTGAACCAGCGTATAGCGCAAGGTACACACATTTGTTTCCATCTTATTATTACTTTTTTTTCTATCATCAAAAATTATATTTTCTAAGAATTTAGTTTTTATATTCATTTTTCATGCAATTCAAAAAAGTGTCCACACAGTCTTAGAAAATTGTTCATGGAATTCAAAGTAGTGCCCATGCAATTTTAAAGACTAGTATTGAAATTTTTGAAAATGTTTCACACATTAGGATTTTTTTCATGCAAATAGAAATTGTTTACACATTTTGGTAAAATGTGTGTGCCATTGCAAATATATTGGTACCATTTAACAGAAATATTCAGACGTTTAAAAAATGGTAGTTGACATTTAATAAAAGTGTTCATGAAAATATAGGAGTGCACTGACACAACTTTTTAAAAATTGTTCATGACATGTAAAATGTCCGTTCACTAAAACTTGGTTGATTAAAAAAAATCATGACCTTAAAAAGGAAAAGGAGAAATAGAAAAAACAACAAAATTGGAAACATAACATAGAAAAACAAAAAAGAACCAGCAGAAAGTTTGATGATTGTGGACTGGAGGGATAGAAGGTTTTTAAAACCGGAGCTAATTGGACCGACATGTGTCGGGGCGTCTTGTGGGCGGTCTTGCGGTAAGTGAGATATAGCCCCTTGCGGAGTTCATTTTCTTCTAAATACATTCGTCCTCCTTTTCAAAGTTAGGTTAGGATTGTTAGCTTGGGCTACCAAACGAGGAATGCCATGTCACCAAGCCGAACAACAACAACAATCGAACATCAAGGCCTATCAAAGTGCATAGACCACCATGGCAACGGACCAGACGTTTGAGACCGGTTTAAGACGCCTAGGTGGGTTGTTGTTTATGACATGTCAGTGACCGCTCCGTCCATCTGAGCATTTGAGGCCAGTTTGAGGCACCCGACTGTGGATGTAGTTAGGATTGTTTGGGATTGCCATGTCATCAAGCCGAACATCAAGGCCTATCTAAGAGTTCAACAGCCCAGGCCAGCCCAGCCACCCCAGCGGACCACCACACCATGACTAGCAAAACGCCCGTACGTTGCTACGGGCTATCCACAATATGTGTAACATTCGGGTTCAACACAAAAAAACATCCAATGATGCACCTTCCTTTTTTCCTGTGGGAACCTCTCA